CCTCTCTGCCATCACGGGGGAGGTGAAAGTGACTTGCCTCCACCTGGTGCTAGAGCTTGCATTAGCTCTGTGCCTCCCAGCAGGAAGCCCATGTGTCCGGTTCCCCTGTGACCTCTGAGGACCCACAGCCTGCAAGCCCCACATCTGGAGCTGTGTCCGAGCTTGGCTAATATGTCTCCTGAGTCCTCGTGAGGAGTGTGGTCTCCTCCTCTCACTAATCACTTCCTTCCCCGCACTAAATAAAGAGTGCCCGGGCTGCATTTAGCAGCACCCACTTCCAAAATAAACAGAAGCGCAGAAATTAGCTGGGATAATTGTGCAATTAAACAGCTGCAAGGCGGCTGCCGCACAGGGTCCGTGGGATGGGAGGAGACCCACCTGCCCCTCTTGGAGTTTGGCGATGGCCATGGTGGTGGTCAGGGATGTGCGCAAAGGCTTTTGTGCTTTGACATTCTCGGATGGTGTCTAGGCTCTGCCGTATTTTGGCTGTCTGGTGTTAGGCAACAAGCTTGGCCTCTCTGAGTCTGTTGTAGAGTAGCAACCACAGTGGCACTGGACTCAGCATCAACTCTGTAAAATGCTGGCATGTGTTTGGTCCAGCCTGGGCCTCACTTCCCATCACCAACTTACCAAGGCTGCCGTGGTCCCTTGTAGGGCTAGTGGCAGAGCCCTGGTCACCTCACTGGTCAGTGTTTGGGGGCGCTGTGGGTTGGATGGGAAATGTCTCTCATGGGATCATGTGTTTGAGCCATCGGTCCCCAGTTGGTGGCGCCGTTTTGAGAGGTTATGGAGCTGTGCCACCATGGACCTCTGAAGGCTATAGTGCCACCTTGCTTCTGCTCCCGCTGCTACCTTGCCTTCCCCTTCATGATGGTCTGATGTCTTTGAAACCAGGATCCAGTGTTCTGTTAGGAGCTGGCAACTGATATAAGGGGTCCCAACGCTCCCTAGGAACCCAGAGAATTCTGATGGTTGTGTCCAGGGGCTCTGCTGGTATGGGATGGGGGATCTGCCAGACCTTGTGTCCTAAGAATGCATTGTGCTTTGTGCTGCTCATCAGTAAGATCATACTGAAGGTGTTGGGGTTGTGGGGGACAGGATGAAGTCCACAATAGTTATGGTTAGAAATCTCCAGGCCCAAACTGGCAGCCACAGCCAAGCAGAACCAACCAAACATATCAAGACTAACAGACGGGAAGACTCCATGAAAACACCCACACCGCCCATCTCCTGCTCAGGAAGTCAGACCTGAAGGACTCCACACTGGCGCAGGTAGCAAGGGTCCAGATGGCACAATGCCTGTGGTTCTGCTGTCCGAGGATTCTGCTGGCATGGATGGAGGTGTCTTGAAAGCGTGCACCTGTGCCGGAGTGGTGTTGTTCCCTTAACACAATGTGACTATTTACACAGCATTGGGTGTTCTGTCTGTGCCATCCAGTGATGGTGGGAAGGATGTGGAGGAAGTGTATGTCAACCCTGTGCCTTGCTGTGCGAGGGGTCTGAGAAGCTACGGTTTTGGTGTCCCTGAGGTTCTGGGAAAATCCCCAGGGTACGTTTAGTGGCTGCCTGGTGGTCCTCTGTCTGCTGTGTCTCCAGACAGATGGATTGACCCAGCCCAGCCCCGGTGTGAACAGGTTAGAGTAACTGTCTTAGGGTTGTTTTTTTTTTTTCCCCATATCTTGGGAAGTTCTGTTTTCCCAGCATCCTGAGTTCCTGCGAGCATTTCCATAGCAACGGTGAAACCATCACTTTTGTCTGCGGAGGTGCAGGGTAATTACAGCTCTGGAGTTCCCTGGGAGTGACTTATGGAGACAGTAAAGGGGATGCAGAGGTCATGGTGCCTGAACACTGCACCCAGGGAAGACTTGACTTTTCCAGGCCGACAAGCAACCAGCTGAAATCCTGTGTCCATTGAAAACAGAGGCTCATCCCAGGCTGAAGTCTTGGCTCAGTGGGAGAGTGCATGCCTAGAATCCACCAGTGAGGGGCTGGGGTGTGGCTTAGTGGTAGAGCACCTGCCTAGAATCCCCCAGTGAGGGGCTGGGGTGTGGCTCAGTGATAAAACACCTGCCTAGAATTACCCAGTGAAGGAGCTAGGAATGTCGCTCAGCACTAGAGAATTTGCTTAATAGATTGGTTAGATTTTGTTAACTTGACACAAACTGGAGTTCAAAGCATCAACCAAGGGATTACTTCCATCAGGTTGTCAGATGGGCAGGTCTGTGGGACATTTTCTTGATTGATTCCTGATGTGGGAGGGCCCAGTCCGCTATGGACAGTGCTGCTCCTGGGAAAGGTGGTCCTGGGTTGTGTGAAAAAAGCAGGTTGAGCAAGCCCAGAAAGCAGCATTCCTCATGGTTTCTGCCTCAGTTCCTGCCTTGAGTTCTAATGGACTGTAACCTGTCAATCAAACAAACCCTTCCCTTCCCAAGTTGGTTTTGCTATGTGTTTTATAAAAGCAACAGAGAAGCAAACTACAACACCCAGAATCCCCCAGTGAGGGGCTGGGGGTGTGGCTCAGTGGTAGAGCTCTTGCCTAGAATTCCCCAGTGAGGGGCTGAGGGTGCAGCTCAGAGGTACAGCATATGTCTAGAGTGCAGTAGGCTATGATTCTATCACCACTATGGCAAACAGGCTCCACAATGTTTCTGAGGAGAGTGGATCTTTTGGTGCCGTGAGGAGGGGATGCTCAGGAAACAGTGTCACTTACCTTCCCCCAGAGACATGTCTCTCATTTCATGAGGTAACTTTACAACTCTGACATCAGGGGATGGGAGGTGTGTGTAGCTTATTTGGTAGGGTATATATGCTGTCATGCATGGGCCCTGGATTCAACTCTAAGTGACGGACAGACCAAGAGTGATGGTTCACACCTGCATCTTAGCACTGGGGAGGCGGAACAGAATCAGAAATTTAAAGTCATCCTCAGCTACATAGTGAGTTCCAGGCCAGCCTGGCACCCAACTGTCATGGTGCCACATGTGTATTATATGAGCACTCTGGGAACTGAGGCAGGAGGATCACAATTTCATGGTCAGCCTGGTTACCTATCAATCCTGTCATCAATCAATCAATCAGTCAATCAGTCAACCAGTCAATCAATCTAAAACCAACTAAATAAAGATAGTAAAACAAAACAACAACAAACTCCCCAAGACTCAATAAAATTGCCAGATTAAAAATAAACTATAGAGCCAGGTGGTGGTGGTGCACACCTTTAATCCCAGCACTCGGGAGGCAGAGCCAGGTGGATCTCTGTGAGTTCAAGGCCAGCCTGGGCTACAGAGTGAGTTCCAGGAAAGGTGCAAAGCTACACAGAGAAACCCTG